ATAATGTTCTTGGCTGCGTTTGGCTTATTGTTTTTATCCATATTCCCAATCCTATTTTTCAAATGTTGTTTGGCATGTTATTCCCAAAATATTAGTCCATTTTTTTAATTACGTTGAGACCCTATAAGTTTATTAATTTCATAAATACCCCCCAGAAAAAAAGTTTAAAAACTAACAAAAACACCCTACCTACCGATACCTGCCAGATTCTGGCAACCACCGTCGGTGGTAGCCGGAATCTATCACAATAGTTACAAAGCCACCGGAAATAGCCGGTAATGGATAGATCTGGCCTTTTCCGGCCAGATCAGATCTGCCTTCAACGACGGCCAAAGATAGCCGTCGTTTCAGCCTTTTTCGGCCGTCGCAGCCACAACAATTCGTAGATCTGGCCTTTTCCGGCCAGATACGTGGTGGATCTGACCGGAAAAGGCCATAACGACTCGTTACGGCATAGATCCGACCGATCTATGTCGTAACGAAATTTTCTGTCCAGATTTCGGCGGTGGTGGCCGGAATCTGGCACTGTAGGTGGTGGGGGTGTTTTTGTCATTTTATATATTAGGGTCTTTAATTAAATTAGTAAACCTAAGGGCTTTTTCATAAATTTTTAAAGTTTATCTCGTAATACTCCCCTATCCAACAACCCAATACTATCCCCAAAATCCTATCTAAAATAATAAACCAAACGCACCCCTTGATATCCTGTAATTTCCTAATTATGTATGTATATTGTAATTGACATAATTAGAAGATTCTGTAGATTGTATCTTCCATATATAAAGCCTGTAAATCTTACTGAAATATCAATGAATTGAAACAAACAATTCTTCAAACAAACACATTAAAATTAAATGATAAAATTAAGGATTAAAATCAAACGACATTGATAGTGTTTTTTTAATTGATTTTCCAACAAAAAGAAAATGGCATAAGTAAATTGAGTGGTTCGTTGCTAATAGCAATGAGTGGCCGCGTGAAGCCCAACATCACTGCCTAACAGTCAACCTAGCATTATACTGCATGGAAAATGATAGAGTTACCGAAAAGTTTACACCGAATTTGTGCACCGAATGACGTGACAAAATCCTGACCGTTGATTAATATTAACTGATAATAAATCAACTTTGTCACATTATTCGTTGCACAAATTCGGTGCACACCCGTTGGTAACTGTAATATTACTCATACGGCATTGTGTCTCATGTTGGCGGCTAAGCGTGACTAGGTTTCTCAGCCTGAGACTAACGTCCTAGTATGGTTGGGCTTCATTTTGTATTTTCCTAGCCACCACCAAATCTCATCCTACCATCATTGAGCACAATGCCTGCAACCTATATGACCCCTACAACCACCACCATCTAATGCAACAGAATAAGATAGGAACTAGATACACTCTAGCATAGCGGCTCAAATCCACAAAGAATAACTCTCGAATCCACCAGAAGATAACGAATCCATAGAATCATTTGAGAAATTTTGTTAATAATTCATTGATAATTGGTTGTAGGATAACAAGCATATTTATAGTAAAATAATCTAGTATTACTGGAACAAGAAATAAGAAAATCCTAATACTACTAGAAAAACAAATTATAAAATAAGAAAATCAAACTTAACTGAAAAGGATTCTTCCTAATTGATTTAACAGAAATTCTAATAAAAACTAAACTTCAATTAAAATCTTAACCAAATTAAAAATATAATTGACAAGAAGGAAAATAAAAACTAATCCAATTTAGGAAAATCTATCCTACATCATACTCCCCCTCTAAAAAAACTCATCGTCCAGTTTTGCAATCCGACAGGTAATACTTGAAATAAAATAGTAAGTCATCCATTAGAACACAATCTTCATGTCGAATATCGTTGACAATTCATCCACTTGACAAATGCTTCAAATGCTTCACCTCAACTTCAAGTCTTCTTCTTCTTTAGTCTTCGCCTCTAGGACAACTTGCTCTTGCTCAATCTTCTTCTTTGACATCTTGCTTAACTTCAATGTAAATTACATTCTCAACCTCTTTTGATGTGATCTTCAACTTGCACCATCTCGTGATCTTGTTGGTTTCAAGAATTTCTATAGTAAGTGCTTTAGGCATCTTGTCTTTGTCCATGATTGGTGAGGCATGTATTTCTGAAAACAATTTTTTCTTATAATTTTGTTATGATTCAACCTGAAAAGCTAATTTGAGGACATCAAGTAATATAGGTCAGGCTGTAAATCAATTTGATCTCGTATATTTGTAGTCAACCCATCAAAGAATCCAAAGCTATTAGATATGCAGGTTCATTATAGTCAAGTAGAGTAACAACTATCAATATTAAAAAATATATTCTCGAAAAGATCTTTTACCTTGATGACAACTCACATATTGATATAAACTCTTGATATACTCACGAGAAAGAAATTGATCCTTCATAGATGTTTTATCTTGTACCATAATATTTAAGTGTTTTATCAAGCTACATTAGTCAAACTTCTAATTATTTCACCATTCTAAAACAATCCTTTAGTAGATAACCAACAACCTTCATACGTTTCCATGCTAGAATATCCATATCAATTAAAAAATCTTGAATAGCTTCAACCCAATCAGGAAAGCTTCACTATGAGAATAAGCTTCACTATGAGAATCCCATTGTAAGTTGGAAGGTGACAACATTGGTTGCGAAGATCGTCTAACGTATTCACAAGTTTTGGAATTTCTTTCTCTCTCTTCTCTTTTTTCTTTTTTCTTTTTAAAGAGCACAAATAGAAAGACTAAAATGAAAAGTAATGCCATTGATGGACTTAATGAGAAACAATTGATCAAACTGGATTAAACTAAATTTTAGTGAAACGGGTATGAAGTGTAATTTTCCAACGTGGCCTGCAAGAAAGAAGTGGGTGAGAAATCTTCAATGCCAGGTTTTGTAAAACACACACTTTTGTTTCTTCTAAGGCTTTTTCACATTTTAAGAAGCATATCATTTCGAGACCTTTCATTTGTGAAGCTCATTTGAAATTAGATTATATTCCCGAGGTTCCATCTGTGTTGTCATAAGAAGTTGGGTTAAGTCTGTTGAAGGGTTAGTGATTCCTTCTCGAACTCTTGTTAAGAGTTCTATGCAACTTTTAGTAAGGAATTTGACAAGTTTTGACCTCATTGTAACAAGGTTTTTTTTAGGGGGATTTGGTTAGAATTGATGTTGAAGTCGTTAGGAGTATACTTGAGTTGCCTATTTGTGAAAATGTTGATGATTTGCAAGAAATAGATATGGATTATATGTTTTACACTGACTGGAGAGTCTTTTAGTCATTGGCCTCAGTGTGGGTACATTTAACCAAATTTTTTGACACCCTTTTACAAGGTTTTGTTCAAAATTGCCTTGATCAATTGGTCTCCTTCGTTGCCAATTCTTCAGTTAGGTTAGAGAAGGCTCAATTGATTTTTGGGATAGGTATTAGTAAGAACAAATATCTTGACTCCTTGATTTATACTCATATTAGATGATGCTGGAATCGAAGTACTCTCAGCCTTGTCATTCCCCTGCCTTATACATAAGGTTGTTGCTCCTTATAAACCTAAGAGGCATGCTAATGAGACTTTCTTGAAGCTAAATTGATCTCTTCAAGCTCTTTTAGAACTTAGTCAGTGTCAGCCCTTCCACATCAAGGGCTACTCCTTCATCATCTTCTGCTGGTTCATTTAAGCTAATCTTGGCAATCCAAGTTGTTAAGTGATATGCAGGCTTTAGAAAATTTGTTGGTGCCATGCATTAAGAAATGATGAAGCAATGAGTGAAGTGCAATCAAGTCTTGCAACTCACATGGATCTGATGTTGTCAAGAATTGATCATCTTAAGATTTTTGAAAAAGAAGAAGGTTGATCTAGCTTCCACTCCAGTCTCTCACGAAGAAAATATATGTGCAGCTTAACTAGCTCCAATCCCTCCAGAATCAGATCCAAATGAGCCTCCTCAAGATCTAGCTCTCCAATTCCTCCTGCGTCTGATCCGATTGCACTTGCTCAAGCTCAAGTCTCTACTTCTCTCCACAACTATCCTCTGCTTCTCCCACAGGCAGAAGAATCAAGAGGACATCTATGAGAGCAAAACTCCTCGAAGATCTAGTCGTTGTTGAGGTTTGCCTCAAATCTTATGAACAAAGATGGGGAGTAGTAGTTTATACAATGTTATTATTATTAATTTTTGTGGTACTGAAGATGGTGGAGTGTGAAGGATTATAACTCAAGAGGAGTTTCTTCTACTCAGGGGGTTTCTAAATTTGTTTTTAAATTTTACGTTGGTATTGAATTTTGTAATTGTTTCTGCTCAATTTGTTTATGTTTCCCCTGAACTAAAATTTTTATTGTTACATGAGTTTGTTTCATATCTCTATGCTTGTGATGTTGATATTGTTTGAGATATTTTTGTGTTGATAAAACGTTTAAATTGTGTTTTGTTCATAAGTTTGACAAAGAGGGAGATTGAAAGTGTTTTATCAACTTATGAGATTGTGTGCACATTTGTTCTAATGATTACTTAAACAACAAATATATATGCAAATCATTCGAAATTCACTATATAAAAATCCCACACAATGAAGACTATATATATATATATATAATTAATTCTTATTATATAACTATAGCATGAATACATGCATAAGCAAAGCTAGGTTTACATTTTTATTTAATTCCCACAATGCCCTCCTGGACCTCCATAAAGAAATCTAGTTCGCCAAGTTTGCTCGAATCAGACACATTTTGCAACCCATAACAATCAGATGCATCATACCGATGGCCCGTGTTGTAATATGAAGGCCATTCTGATGAAATTGTAAGCATAATAAGTAGATTTTGAAATAAGCTGCATGGTTATATTGGCCATCGGCTTGTAGCCACTGCCCATTGGAGGGCTAATTTCGTCATTTGCTGTATATGCCACTCCTCCCCATGCAATAACTTGGGCTCCATATTGTAGAAGTGGGAACAATTCCTTTGGTAAATAACCAACTATGATATCTTTTTCTGAATAATAGAGAATCCAGTTTTTGTTTCTCTATCCTGGAGAAAAGAGAAAAAAAATATCATTGAAAGTAATAATATGAAAGGGTTTGACTTTAAATGATTCGTCCAATACTATTGATCCAGTACAATGATTGAAGTTTATGTTTTGAATTTTCTTTTAAAAGAAAATAATAACAGGAGTTTTTGGATTCGATACTATAACTTATTGTTGATGAAAAGAGTTAAAGTAAGGTCTTCTCTTAATCTAAATCACTTATGATAGAACATTAATGTATATGTACATAATTGGGTTCCTATTTATGTAACTACTAACGTATAACATCAAAATAATTATAAGAAAATAACATTATTTATCATATCATCTTATAATTAATTGGTTGTTACACATCAATAGTCAATTAGTAACAAACTTATACCTATAGTCACCAGGGCCGGCTCACCTGCCTAAAATAACGGTCCAAGTTTTTTATAAATGTTTTTTGAATATATAACAAAAATGAAAGTTGTGTATAATATTTTATCTAGGCCAAGGGGCCCCCAAAAAAAGCCAAAAAGACCAAATTTATTATAAACCTTTTACATATATTCCCACCTAAAGTTTGACGAAATAGCAAGTTTGTATCTCTGTTTCATATATTCAAATTTACACTTCTAAATTAATACATTAATTTCTTTTAACAATGAAAGACTAAAATAGGCATTTACGTGTCTCAAATTACCCACCCCCAATTCCATCCCAAAATTCGATATTCACATAAATCATCTCCACCTTTCTTTTGCAACCAGCCGTTTGGAGTTGATTCCAATCAATTTTCTCACAAAATCGACCGGAATCATACTTTCTCATTTCCCAGTGTTTTCCTAACTTTGATTGCTCTCAATTTAGCCAATGTTTTACGAATCTTGCAACCCAACTCCATAGCACGCAACAGCCAATTCTAACCTTTTTGGCATGTACCCGGCGTTGTTGGCCTTCCCCGACACTAACATCTTCCTCCCCTTAGCCCTATCACCAAAACCCCTATCATACCTCATTTGTTTACTCCATCAATTGCCGGACACCATACCTTTTGGGCCGCGACTTCTCAAGCCTTTTCGGCCAATCCTGACATTGAAAATCACAATTTCACCACCCATCGCTTCTCCAACATCTGCTCTCCAAAACCCTCACCAACCTAACCTCATAAGCCACTCTCCTAGTGATTTTGCATCTTAAAAGGCAAGAAAAATAAATTTGAATAATTTTTTTATATATGCTTATATTTTTAGAAGGCCTCAAAGTAACTCTTGTCTAGGATCACAAATGTTCTTGAGACGGCCTTGATAGTCACCCTTGGTCAACTAAAAATTTTAAAATTTATATATATCAGTTCACCCCTTAAAAAATAATTTGGCTTCCCCAATCTATCAAACTCTAAACTTTGGTCCCATCAAATGTAGTTTTTTAGTTCCATTATTAGCAACAAAATTAGTCTAGATTCAAAGTTGAGATCCCAACTTAATAAATGTACGTTGCTGTATGGTCAAAATCTTTTAATTCATTATATTACATTTTATTAACAACCATAATTTTTTTAGTATTTCCTCATATAAAAGGTTTAGATGAAGAGACATACTTGCACGAAACATTAGTGCAGGTAGAATGTAAATGTACGATATTCAAATTGATGGTTGAGTATCAATGCAATTAATAAGTAATTTACCTGGAAGACCTTGATCTTTACATCATAAATTGGTCCACCATAGGAAGAGACTGGCTCAAGTATTTGGCCTAGTGAAATCTTGGGGTCAACTTGTACAAATCCTTGACAAAACAAGTTATAGCATCCAGTTTTGTGACCTCCATCAGCCTATTCAATATGATCATAAGAAAATATGTAAACGATTAGTAATTAAAATTCACAAATGATAAGATAATTAAGCTAAGAGTTTAAACAATTCCCCTGAAGTTTCCTTAAATACATTTTCCCCCACAGGTATCAGAAATAAAAATTTACCCCTTCTTATTACTGTTTTGTTAGATTTCTGTTAATTAACTAACATATTTTAAACTTAATCCATTAAATTAAATAGCAAAATCCTAACGACATGCTGATAATAGGGGGTAAATCGTTATTTCTGGTACCTGAGGGGGGAAATTTTTAGTGAAACCTCAAGGGGACAATTTGTTAGGCTCTAATCAGCTAATTATATATATATAATTGGGCTTCAATAAATTAGAAGAAAACTTACAGTCCAGTATAAGTACAATCGAGGGACAGAATCACTTTTCACCTACAACAAATTAATGTTTAGATTAAAAAAGTTAATTATCTTCATAATTTGACTAGAATATAATTATATTAATTGAGCGGTGTACAAAGGAAAAAAAAAATCTCAAGCACAAACAACACAAAAAATGAATAACAAATCACGAAAAGAATGATTTTACCGAAACGATAATCTCTCATTAACTTATTCTCTACTAATGAAAATGACTTAATAATCGCTAGTATTATGAGAAATAAACCCTAACAAATAAATAATATGGTTTTGTTATGTCAGTAAAGTGTAGTGATGAGATTCTGTCGCATGTAAATATTGTCTTGATAGTTTATAACAAAAATTAATTAAATTTGTAGGGATTATAACTTACCATCCATCCAACATTAATCATATTAAGATTATTGTAGGGCCATTCTCAATCCACATATATTATTGGGTGGTGTAGAAAAGAAAAGAAAAAAATATCTCCGAGCACAAGCAAAACAAAATATGAAAACAGCACAAAAAATATAATTTTGCCGAAAAGATATTAATTAGATGACTTAGTAATCACAAGTATTCTAAAAAATAAACCCTAACAAATATATCACGTGGTTTTGTTATATCAGTAAAGTGAGGTGACGAGATTCCATCGCTTGTAAATATTCTTGATAATCTATAACAGAAATTAATTAGAAGTTTAGTGATAATTACTTACCATCCAACCAACGCTAATCATATTAAGGGCGTCATAAGGACCATTCTCAATCCACACACTGGCTGTGCTGTATTGGTGTCTATCGGTTATATTAAGACTATGCACCGAAATTACCGCACTGGCTCCATGATATCTTCTTTGTTCCAATTTTTGCATATACACATAAATCATCTGGGTCACGCATAATCACAATTTGTTAGTAAGATATATTGCATTCATTCAAAAGGTAATCTTCTAAAATATTGCAAAACTATTCAAAACCCATAAGTTTTAGATAAACACTGTTTATATTAAATCGGTTCTTTGAGGCTTTTAATACCTTTTCGAAAGTCCTAAATGCTAATGGATTTTTTTTTTTGATAATCGTGATGGGTAATATATAACATTAGACTTCATTTTAAAATCTGAACTTTTGTTTACCAATGCTTGTAAACATTAAAAGAACAATATTTTTGCAATTTTTAATACGAAAAAATTGAACTAAAATTTTATCTTTTAATATTTAGTACTAATATAATAAAGTGTAAACCGATGCTAAAAAATATACTGATCTAACTATTTTTAAAATATAAATGTCCAATCGAAGAAGGAATAAAAAAGAATCAAATAAAAAGAAGAAAGTAATTACTGTTACATGAGGTGAGTTAGCATCAGAGGCAGAAATCGCTTTGTGATTAAGAGCTCCTGCCATCGCCAATTCCTCCTTTGTGGTTCTTCGAATAGGAACTGTTCCAATTGCGCAAGCTTGGTCTGAAAACCTTGCACTTTCTAGCTCTTTTATCCTTCTTGTTACATAAGATTGTGGTGGCATCTACGCAAATAAATGATATATATAGAAGGAAGTAATCTTCAATGAATAGAGGGATCACGTAAAAGTAAGAAGTTGCATTTACAGGGTTCAAAGTGTTAAGTTTTTATAAAGACAAAATCAATAAATTTCTCTATAAATTTGTTTGGGGACCGGATTTACTATATACATTGAGCATCTATGTTAATAAAAGATATTTATTTAGAGTACTATATATATATATATATATATGAAAGTCTGTACCATGTTTGGGTATTATATATTAAATGTTATTCTATGTGTGGATACTATATATTAAAGGTTATTCTTTGAGTGGGTATAAAACTCTTGATATTAAAGCATCTTTCTTAATTTTAATCAATATTCTCGAGGAATATTAATAAGATTAATATTCATGTGACGTTATATATACATTTACATCACATTTAAAAAAAAAAAAAAAGACTTCTTTGAATAATGAGTAATATTGCAAGAGAAATGCAATATAATATTACCTGGATCTTGTGATCTTTGAGCAAAGGATGGTCGAATGCAGGCTGTTTATAGAAGTCTACGCAATCCACAACGTCACCCCCCACGAGCTTTGAAAATTGATTAATTCAAAAAAAAAAAAAAAATTGAATGAAATTTTTACTATTAAATGTCTAGAACAGAAAAATATTTCCCTTGAAATTGTTAAAATATATTAAAAATAAATATTTACTCAAAGTAATTTAAAATAATATGATCAGAGATTTTGTGATTCTTTTTCCACAAAAGTACTACTTAGAGAATATTTTAATAGAAAAAAAAAATTATTCAAAATTGCTTTTCAGAAATTTAAAAAAAAAAAAAAAGGGAAATCCACAATTAATATTTCTCTAAATAAATGCTTTGCAATTGAACATAAATAAATTCAATTATTTTGCATATTTATTCTAAGAATTAATACTGTACTTACCCGAATGGTTTGAACAGGGGGATTGTTAAGAGCTTTCACCTCTTTTGAAAGACTTAAAGAAACACATAGCAATATCAATAGTGATGCCATTTTGAAGATCATTGAGCCTCAATTTTTTGTTTTCAAGAATTTAATTAGTGCTTCTCACTTACACAGAAAAGTCCTCAATTGTTTTACTTAAATCCTAGTTGACATAGTAAATATCTAAAATACTTTGTTGGAAAGATACGCTAAAATTTATTATAGCATTAATTATGTAAGGAATTTTCTTATTATAGGAAGAAAAATATTTCAATTTTAACCATTTAAATTAAATTTTTAGTAGTTTTATAGAATTTGAAGGAATCACATAACTTAAAGAATCATAAATGCTTCTTTGTCTTGACAAAAATATTTTCTATAGAAAATCCTACCATAATTAGTTATCTGTAAACTTACTTAAAACATAATTTATCTATGTTATTATAATAATAAATTTCTCTCGTCCCACCAAGGTTTCTAAAAAAAAAAAAAAACAAGCCTGTTATTTTAAATATTATATATTTTTATTGGATATATTGTATGGACGATGAATTGATTGAAACTATACATATCGAATCAGGTTTGGAATGTTATCATTATAAACTGGATATACTTATTTGTTGTTCTAGGTTTTCTTTTTAATTCATTTAATGATGATATATTTGTTAGGAGATCACACAGCGGAAAACATACATTCAAAATAAATAACATAAGATTAAAATCATATCACATAAAAAGACATGATATTTACGTGGTTCGGCATAACTCGCTTATATCCACAATTGAGAGAAATTTATTATAGTTTCATGAATATAATGTACATGAGTAGACAAGATCATAAACCCAGTACATAAAATAGAGTGACGCTCAACCCAATACCTACAGCAGAAACAACCCCAGTTTCTAAGACACTCTACACATGGTGTTTAGTAACACTTACATCAAATACCATGTGTTCTCACGTTCTCTCATAACTTTGATTGGTTCTCACTCATATATTTACAGGTAGTATATGGGATATTATATTTCTAATAGGATTCATATTTCAATTCCTAATAGAACTCCTAAATTATATTCTTATTTATAATTATATTATTTCTTAAAAAGTTTTCCTAAAGACATACAATTTTACATGAAAACAAATAGGAAAGCGAGTCACAATATCCCAACAATCTCCACCTCGGTGAGATTTCCATCACAGTTAACGCTTCACCATCACAGCACCCAGGTCACACAGAAACCATGTCAAATTTTGCAGCCAAGATTTGAGAACCACTCCACGTACAACTTAAACTTGTTGTAGTTTGTCTCTTGTGTGCATCCACCATCTCGAAAGAACTTATTTCCCTAAGTCGCAACTTCGAGCTCTGATACCACTTGTTAGGAAATTGTGCAACGAAAAACATACATTCAAGAAAAATAAAATAAGATTAAAATCACACCACACAAAGAGACACAATATTTACGTGATTTGACATAACCCGCCTACATCTACGAATGAGAGAAATCCACTATAGTTTCATGAACACGATATACAAACGTACACAATACCATAAACCCGATACATAAAACAGAGCGACGCTCAGCTCAATACCTAGAGCAGAAACAACCCTAATTTCTAAGACACTCATCCCATAGCATTTAGTAACTTTTACATCAAATGCCTTGTGTTCTCACATTCTCTCATAACCTTAAATTAGTTCTCACCGATATATTTATAGCTAGTATATAGAATATTCTGTTTCTAATAGAATTTATATTTCAATTCCTAATATGACTCCTAAATTATATTCCTATTTACAACTGTATTGTTTAATAAATATATTTCTTAAAGACATACAATTTTACATGAAAACAAATAGGAAAACGAGCCACAATATCCCAACAATGTTCAATGTAAGATCAAAATGAGTTTTTTTTTTTTTTTTTTTTTAAGCTATGTATATGTCCTCTTCTAACCCTTCCAAAATAAATATGATTTTGAAGCCTAATTGTCATTTGCACTTATTCATTGCTTCATTTTTAACTCTCTCTCATTTATTGCTTAATATTGTTCATCCTTATTGTTTAGCATCATTCTCATTTATTGTGTATCATTGTTGGTGTTGTTTGTTCATAACTTGTTTTGGGTTGGTGAAAGTTTTATTCCGCAATTATTTTTTCATATATGGTTTTACATAATTCATGTTTTAGATAAATATTTTATTTCATCTTAAAACTTTAATGTAATATAGCATATTTTGTTTTGCAATATACAAATAATCATTACTACGTGAAGGCAATTTTCTTAAGACATGAATTAGAAAAATTATAATTTATTACAATATGAAGTTTATTTTTATTTATAATTATCTCAAGTTGGGGCCATGTGTTTGTTCACAAACTCTTTTACAGTCCTTTCAAATTATAAATGGAGGAGATTAGAAGAGAAAGTAATGTATTCATAAAGCAAAAATTTTGAATAGTGCACAGTGCCAAGTACTCAAAACCGAAATTGGAACCTATGTTTCAGGTTTTGGTTCCAGGCATTTAGGAACCGAAAACGACTGATTCCGATCCCATAGGATTTGGGTAGGTACCTAGACCCGCCCACCCCTAGTTAAAACGGGTTCCTTAAAAAGCCCTTGGAAAGCCATCTTTATGCAATATCCATCATTTCTTAATCATATTGTTGGTCATGGGCGATGGGAAAGATATTAGTTTCAAGAAGATAAAGAGATAGGTGAGGCCACTATGGGTGATAAGTTTCCTCGCCTTTTTAGGCTTTATCCTGATTGAAACTTATCTATTCAATCTTGTATGGTTTTGTCTCCAAATTTTCATCATGGATTTCAAACTTCAATTTCAAAAGGACTTTGAATAGAAGAGACAGAAGTTATTTCATTGAGATGTTTTTGTCTCCAAATTCTTCATCATGGAATTCAAACTTCAATTTCAAAAGGACTTTGAATAAAAGAGAGAAGTGATTTCATTGAGATTGTGGAGTTGTGGGAAATGCAAACATTGACGAGACTAAAAAGGATAGAAGAAATTGGAAATTGGAAGCTCTAAACAATTACTCTTGTAAATCCTTCTATGAGTGGTTCCTTTAAATCTTTCAAGATGATATGGAAGACTAAAGTCCCTCCCAAAGTTCAAGTCTTTTATGGGCTTTAGCCCAAGGCAAAATCAATACTAAAGATATAATTCATAGAACACATCCGCCAATGTGCCTATCTCCATTTTGGTATGTGATGGGTAAAAAAAGTGAGACTGCAATTCACCTCTTCCTTGGTTGTTCTATGGCTTCAAAACTATGGCTATAGTTTGGAAATAATCTATATCTTGGGCTATCCCAAATTCTTGTGAGACTTTACTTATTGAGAACTTTTTTACTTTCAAAGAGGAAAGAAAGCCAAATCACTTTGGAAATGTGTCGTTTCAACTCTCATATGGCAAGAAAGAGATAATCGTATTTTTGGGGAGAAATGTGATGATAACAGTAAGGTGTTATAAAATAGAATTAGACTTTTTGCTTCTATTTGGGCTTCGATCTCAAAAGAATGCAAGGATTTTTCTTTTTCCTTTATTCATCTTGATTGGGAGGGGGTTTTAGGCTAATTTTGTATAGTTTGCTTGTTTTTACATAGGGAAGGAAACATTAGTCATTATCTTGTATAGATTTGTCTCCCTCATTGGTTTTTTAATATTTTTGTAAATCTCTAATCCCGGATGTACCTACCTCAATCTTTTTTAATATATAGTTTTATCATTTCCTAAAAAATAAATGTTGAAGTGGAAGCTTGAAAATGGTGTTATTTTTTGTTTTACTTATGCGGTGTCATTTTGGAAAATGGCTTAGATAAGATCCTAATCGTCGAAAGCACTCAAATCCAATGGTTGAAAACTGGCTGCTTGGTCAACGATATTTAAACACAATTTTTTTTTTTTTTTTGTAGAATCAATGAGAGAGAGTGAGAGTTTTCGATTGAAAACTTTCTCTGTGGGTTTTGCGGCTTCTTCTTGATAGATCTATGTAACTAGGAGGGCTGAGTGGTTAGGA